AGGCCTAGTGGTCTGCTTCCATGATTGTCTCCTAGGAACAGTCCATGAGTTGGAATCCTCTCCAGGGCACACAACAGCTGTGAGACACGCTCACTTCTTTCTTTGAAGGACCATGTAGTTTAAGCTTTTTGTTATTTGTTCTATATTTGTTCCCATTCCAAAGAAGGGTGACCCAACAGAGTGTGGAAACTATAGAACAATATCGTTGATTTCACATGCAAGCAAGATTCTACTGAAGATTATCCAAAAATGACTGGAACAGCACATCAGCAGAGAACTGCCAGAAGTCCAGGCTGGGTTTAGAAGGGGTCATGGTACTAGGGATATTGTAGCTGATGTTAGATGGATCTTAGCTGAAAGCAGGGAATACCAGAGGAATGTATATATCTGTTTCATTGATTATGCAAAGGCGTTTGACTGCGTGGATCATAACAAGCTGTGGCTGACTCTGAGAAGAATGGGAATCCCAGAACATTTAATCGTGATAATGTGAAAACATTTAATCGTGATAATGTGAAACCTATACTTGGACCAAGAGGCAGTCGTCAGAACAGAGCAGGTAACACTGCATGGTTCAAAATTGGGAAGGGTGTGCGCCAGGGATGCATCCTATCTCCATACCTTTTCAACCTGTATGCAGAGAGCAGATTATCCGAGAGGCTGGGCTCTATGAGGAGAAGTGGAGTCAGAATTGGTGGAAGATCTATTAACAATCTGCATTATGCAGATGAGACAACCCTGCTTGCTGAAACTGAGGAGGACCTCACGCACTTGCTGCGAAGGGTCAAGGACTGTAGCCTTCAGTATGGACTGAGGCTCAATGTCAGGAAGACAAAGATTCTCACCACTGGACCAGTTGGCAGCATCAGGATGGATGGCGAAGAGATTGAGATTGTTCACAACTTCAGTTTGCTCAGTTCCACAGTCAGCACTCTTGGCACTAGCAGCCAGGAAATCAAAAAACGTATTGCGATGGGAAAGTCTGCTGTTAGGGACCTCTCTAAAGTGTTCAAGAGCAATGGTGTGTCTCTGGAGACTAAGGTGCGTCTGATACAGGCCATGGTCTTTTCAATTACTTGTTATGCATCATAGAGTTGGACAATGACTAGGGAGGATAGGAGAATTGATGCCTTGGAGCTGTGGTGCTGGAGAAGAGTATTGAATGTACCATAGACTGCCAAAACAAACAGATTCATCTTGGAGAGGGTTAAACCAGGCTACTCCTTGGAGGCAAGGATTCTGAGGCTCCGTCTAACATACTTTGGACATGTTGTGAGGAGGGACAGGTCCTTGGAGCGGGGACATCATGCTTGGTAAGGTGGAGGGACAGCACAGGAGGGGAAGGCCCTCTATGAGGTGGATTGATTCAGTGACTGGGGTAATCGGGATGGGTGTGTCAGAGGCAGTGTGATTGGCACAGGATAGAGCAGGGTTTAGGGCTGTTGCACATAGGGTCGCTATGAGTCGCAAGCGACCCAACGGCACATAACAACAATTTAAGTTTGCTCTTTTGATTAGTATCTCTGAAGTAACAGGAATGCTGAAGAAGACTATTTAAAGATCACAAAGCTAGATGAGCACATCTGAATGTAGAAGTCACATCTTACTACCAGTAATTAAGGGGTGTGTGTAGGGGGGGTGTGTGTGTGTGTATCTCCCCATAGTGGTGTGGTATATAACATGTCAGATGCTGTCCTGAAGTCAGTCATTCAAATCCACCAGGCACTCTGTTTAAGAAACCCACTGATCTGAACAAACTTGGAGAGCATTTATATATATTTTATATATCTATATCTGTGTCTATATATATATAAATTTTATTCATATAAGGAACTAGTCTGTCCCTTCCTAGTATTTAGGTTTCTAGTTTTACACTGCTAGAACCAGTGCTGCAAAAAACAAAGACCACTCTTATAAAAAGTTAAAGTTTTGCACGCAAGTAGATTCCTTGTTACTTGGTTACCAGGAAGAGTAGAGTAAAATTGATAGTAATGGTGGTGGTTTTGTTGTGTACTGTCAAGTTAATCAACCCATAGCTGACCCTTTGTCAAGTTTTCAGAGGCACCGGAGGAGATTGTCCATGTTTCTGCCATGGAGCAGCTGGTGGCTTCAAACCACGTGCCTTCGAGATTGCAGTGTGTGGCTTCTTGCCACTAGGCCACCAGAGATCCCTTAAGATAGTAAACATTTACTTAAAGGTGGAGGGAATGGCAAGATAGAATAAGTAGACATTCAGGCATGATCAATTGAAAATAAAAATCGTCAGTGACGTCCTCTTAACTTGGTTCCACAATTGACACTCTTGGCACTGGCAGCCAGGAAATCAAAAGACATAGGGAAAAGTCTGCTGTCAGGGACTTCTCAAGTGCTGAAGAGCAATAATGTCAGTTTAAAGAGTAAGATGCATCTGATCCAAACCGTGATATTTTCAGTTACTTGCTATGCATCTCTAAAGTTGACAGTGACTAAAGACATCAGAAGAAAAATTAGTACTTTTGATTGTGATGTTGGAAGACAGTGTGCAGTATCTCATGGACTGCTAAAAGAACAAACCAGTATGTCTTGGCAAAGGTGCGGCCAGGGTACTTCTTGGAGGCACAGATGGGTATGCTTCACCTCACTTATTTTAGGCATGTTAGGAGGGACCAATTCTTGGAAAAGACTTCATGCTTGGAAAGGTGGAGGGGTCAGTGAAGTAGAGTCAGACCTTCAAGAAAAGGGCTGTTAATGGTGGGCTCGAGTATATGAGATGACGAAGATAGCACAGGACAAATCAGGGTTCAGATCCATTGTTCACTGTGAGTCCTAGTCGACTGAGTGGCACTTAAAAACAGCAGGTATTTGGGATATTGTTCTAATATTGATTAATGTGATAAAGTGATATTTAAAAAACCAATTTGTAAATTTTTACTCATGTCACAAAAAAATATACAGTGCTGTGCTGATTTTGTATGTGAGTCATTTTATATGTGCCTTTTATAGGATAAATTTCTAGTACTTAAGGAGAGACTGTATGTGAATTTGTAATTTCGATAAATACTGCCAAATTGTTCTCCATAGAGGTAATGATGTGCAAACAGTAACAACTCTCTTAAAGTTCCTGTTGTCCTACAACTTTGTCACTACAGTATCTTATAAAATATTTGGATCACTGTCCTATAAGTGGCTTCATCTACATTTCAATTTTTTATTAGAGTTTGAAGTTTTTGGTTGTTTTTGTTTTGTGTTTCTATGTTCGAGTGTTGCATTTTTCTTCTACTAAGCTGCCATTTTTGTTTGTTGGGCTATTAGATTTGCCTTGCATGCAGAAATTATTTTTAAGTAGTCATGTGTGTCTGTCTTAAGACCTCTTTTTTAAGTTTTGTGCTATTTTCAGAAAGAACTTTTTCCGTTCTGAGATTAGTATTAAACCTTCCATTGTCAAGTGGGCAGGAAAGCCTGGTTACTGTTACGGTTACTGTTAGGAGAAGATAGCCGACTTCACCTTACTTCATTCATTTTTCTTTTTTGGGAGTTTCAATGTATTTTATATCAAATTATTTTTCTGTTAAATAATTTATAGATACTGTGTGGCATTGAGAACTCTTCACACTTCTTCCTTGATTTATGTTCATTGGTCCTAACCCTTCCTGCCTTCTGAGCACTGTTTTTGAGCAGATTGTTGCTTGTTAGTGATTGATTAAATTGGAACCACAACACCACATTTCACCACTAGTATTGTTACTCACCTTAGAACTGCCTGTTATGGGGATATTGGACTGAGTTCCCAGGTTTCAGATTGACACCCCCCCCCTCCCCCAATTCCTTTGTTGACTGTGGAGCCAAGCAAACTAAAGCTGTGAACAATCTCAATCTCTTCACCATCCTTCCTGATGCTGCCAGTTGGTCCAGTGGTGAGAATCTTTGTCTTTTTTGACATTGAGCCTCAGTCCATTTTGGAGGCTGCAGTCCTTGACCCTCTGCAGCAAGCGCTTCAGGTCCTCCTCAGTTTCAGCAAGCAGGGTTGTGTCATCTGCATAACACAGATTGTTGATGAATCTTCCACCAATCCTGACCCCACATTTCTCCTCATAGAGCCCAGCCTCTCGGATAATCTGTTCTGCGTACAGGTTGAAAAGGTATGGAGACAGGACACATCCCTGGTGTACACCCTTCCCAGTTTTGAACCATGCAGTGATTCCTTGCTCTGCACCAGTAGCCAGGAAATTAAAAGACGTATTACCTTTGGAAAGTCTGCTATTAGAGACCTCTCCAAAGTACTGTAGAGCAATGGTGTCTCTTAGGAGACTAAGGTGCGCCTGATACATGCCATGGTCTTTGCTGTCACTTGTTATGCATCAGAGAGTTGGACAATGACTAAGGAGGATAGAAGAATTGATGTCTTTGAGCTGTGGTGCTAGAAAAGAGTAATGAATGTACTCTGGACTGCCAAGAAAACAAACAGATTCATCTTGGAGAGGTTTAAACCGGGCGGCTCCCTGGAGGCAAGGATTCTGAGGCTCCGTCTAACAAACTTTGAACATGTTGTAAGGAGAGACCAGTCCTTGGAGAGGGACATCGTGCTTCGTAGGGTGGAGGGACAGCGCAGGAGGGGAAGACCCTTTATGAGGTGGATTGATTCAGTGACTGGAGTAATCACGTTGGGTGTGTCAGAGACAGTGGGATCGGCACAGGACAGAGCAGATGGCACATAATAACAGCAACAGCCATTACTTTGTAATATGAATATCATCTTTCTTGCATATTTAATTTAGGTGTTTTTGTTTAAGAACTCTTATTATGTTCAGACTCAGAGCTGACGCTCCAGTGGGTTTTCAGAGTCATTAAATCACACTGGAGGAGATTGCCCATCTTTGCCCCATGGAGCAGCTGGTAGACTTGATCTGTTTTGGGATTAGCACAGTTCTTACCACCAGGCCATCAGAGTTCCTTTGTAGATATTTACAGATGGTTATTGGTTAACTATAAACTCAAAATGAATGCTATTTGTTTTTATCTAGATCCCAAGGAAGAGAGAGAAGAAGACGAGGCTTCTGCCCTCCCTCAGGAAGTGTCCATTGCTGCCACGAGGCCTCACCGGGGCTGGCGCAGTAGTAGCAGGACGTCTGTCTCCCGCCATCGTGATACAGAGAACACTCGGAGCTCTAGATCCAAGACCGGTTCATTGCAGCTCATCTGCAAGTCAGAACCCAATACTGATCAGCTTGATTACGGTACAGTGCTAACTGAGCACAGATAATTAGTATACCGCTTTTAAATGGAGTGTTGAATGTTTACCTTCTGATACTGAGCATAGTTGTTTAAAAATGGCATTTTCGCCTTTTCTCCTGACAGTTTGCAGATAGCCTTGTATTTGTCATTATTGCAGGCAGTGATTACAAAGGAAAAAAATGTTTATATAGATACTTTAAATGTTTTAATTTTTGCTTTGTTTTGTAGCAGATGTTGGAGAAGAGCATCAGTCACCTGGTGGCATTAGGTAGGAAACTTTCTAGTTCTTTATTACACAGCACAATCACATTACATGATGCAGATGTTTAAGTTCTATATAAAAAATCTTGAGCTGTAACAGAGCTTGCTTTTAGAGAATTCTGTTTGAGTGTTCAATTTAGATTCAGCACTGTCCTTGATTAGAGCATTCATAATGTAATCTTGTAGTTAACTTAGTTAAAAATGTTTTACTTACCTCTTATGTTCTTACTTTTTCTTGCTGGGAATGTGAAATGTGGCTGTTTTAAGCATTTTTTTGACATTTCATCAGTGTCTTCAGTGATCATGTAATTTTCATTTGTTGATAGACCTTTTTGATACAGCAAAATGTTACAGTATGAAGTCAGAGATTTTTTAACTTCATACCATTCAGTAACCATTATCCCGACCCTCAGTGAAATGGCAGTATATCTAGGAGTAGTTCCAATTGCTACTTAGATTAAAGCAGGTAGATTGCAGTTTAGCTAAATCAGGAGGGTTAAAAATCCCAAATAACTGTGTTTTTGGCAACTTTTTACAAGTACGGTACCAGATAAAATCCCGTCAGATAGAATTGTTAACAACTAAAATTCCCCATCTCGTCTTTGCTTCTTTTAGTAGTGAAGAGGAAGAGGAAGAAGAGGAGATGTTAGTCAGCGAAGAGGAAATACCATTCAAAGATGACCCACGAGATGAAACTTACAAACCACACTTAGAAAGGCATGTCTCAGATTTTGTTCACATCTTACGTGTGAAAGGTTAATAAGTAGGATTTGTTGCATCATTTTGTTGCCAACTAGTGACTTGACTTGAGATGATATGTAGTTATATCCATATGATTTCATATTCTCTTCTTACTTATTGTCTATATGTTTTAACTGGGCATCTTGAATTTCCTGAATACATAGACATTTTTAACTTGTCTCCTTTCTCTTAATAGATGGTCAAGTTTAATTCTGTAATATCTTTAGCCTGGAGTCATATACCAAGGTGTTATATACTGTTAGCAGTGCATATCAGGAATAACAGTCAGAGAGTTCACACTTCATAAGCTGAAAATTATTTATCCCCAAGTCAGAGGTCCCTAAGCTTTACCTTGTTACTTAGTTTTCTTTGACATGCACTTCTTTTTCATATTAAAGTTGATATTTCTGTGTTTTCAGGGAAACTCCAAAGCCACGGAGAAGATCAGGGAAAGTGAAAGAAGAGAAAGAGAAGAAGGAAATTAAAGTGGAAGTCGAAGTGGAGGTGAAGGAAGAAGAGAATGAAATTAGGGACGATGAGGAGCCACCTAGGAAGTGAGTAATTATTGCTTAATGATAAATCATAGAAAACGAATAGATCTTTAAGCAGAAAAGAAGGTTGGACTAGGAGAATATGCTTGAAAATATTTTCTTCAAAAATATTTCCAAAATTTGTCCTCGGGCAGCTGAACCTCTTAAGACCTTGAAGAGTGTGCTTTTTAATTCAAAACATCTCTTGTCGAGTACTGTTAGGTCAGTTCCATCTCGTTAATGGTCTTGAATAGGACCAAGTAGAACTGCCAACAGGGCTTCCAGCGCTGGAATCCTGATGGGAATGCATGTGGCACTGTCTTTCTCCCGTGGAACAACTGAGTGGGGTCAAAGGACTGGCTTTTTCTATTAGTGATGGAACAATTAACTATGATGCCTTGAAATGATGAGGGCAGACAGTAGCTGTAGGGATGCAAGGATAGCAACAAGTATAGCAGATGTAGACCCTCAAAGGAAGGATAAATTAAGCAGAAGATGTGATAGTCCATAAAAACATTCTCCTTAACAACTGTTTACTAATGCAGAGAGAAAATTTAAATGTTTAGACTTTTTTTATTTTTTCTCAAGCCTCCAATCTACTTGTGTCTGGTTCTCTTGCAGAGTATATTCTTGAGATTTTAGACAAAAGATTCTTTTTTCCTGTATTCTAATTGGCCCACATGTAGGGCAATGTCCTTCTAGTGCAGTAATTCTACAAATAATATAACCTTGCAGTTTTATCCAAATTTTCCATGGTATTGTCTAGTTTATAAAGCACATGTATTTAACTTGTGATGTAAACCAAACTAAAACCAAAATTACCTAAACATGAGATACTTGCTTGCTTTGCCAGGTGTTTCTTTGGTTTTTTAGGTATTCTGGGTTATCCTTTCCGTATGCCACCTGCTCTTTGATCTTAACTGTATGTCTTCATTGGTCCTTCACTCTATAAACACCAGTGTGGAATATGTGGCAGTTACTCTGTTCTTTAATTATAGGAGAGGAAGAAGGCGAAAAGATGACAAAAGCCCTCGGTTACCCAAAAGGAGGTGAGTAACTTGAATTGTTTTGTAGCTTATTTGTCGCACTAAGCAGTTAATCAAGGCCTCTTAATAATTCAGCATGAAATGGCTATTTAAAAGTTTGGCCAAGCAACTTTTCTTTTAATGTCTTCTTGGAGCCTGTAGCTAAGTACTTGGCTGCTAACTGGAGAGGCAGCTGTGTGAACCCACCAGCAATGCTGTGCGGGAGAGAGCTGCAAACCTACCTCTGTAAAGAGGTTTGGTCTTGGAAACCTGGTGGGGGTAGGGGGGACAGTTTTTCTATGTCTCATAGGGACATAGGGAGTCGAGAATCTGTGTGATGGCAGGAGGTTTGAGGTTTTGGTTTATAGTTGAGTTGCATCATATATGTATTTTTAGCTCTTTCAGACATTGGTCATTTTCTGTTAATACTAACAAAGTCTCTGCAGACCATATACTAGTTTAAAAGTGTTTCATTCTAAATAGTGTAAATAGCTTACTTCAGTTAGGGAACTCTGGCAGTGTAGTGGGTAAGGAGTCAAGCACTGCCAATCCAGAGGCAGACGGTTTGAATCCACCAGCTGCTCTGTGGGAGAAAGATGAGCACATTGCATCTCTTGGGCAATTTACAGCCTCTGAAAACCCACTGGAGGATTAGCTGTGAATTGGTTCTGACTTGACAGTACATAAGATAATATGATATAACTGGAATTAAAAACCACTGTGCCAACTCCTCATTTTTCATTGCTAAGTTTTCTCCTTCATTTTGATACAGGAAAAAGCCTCCAATCCAGTATGTCCGCTGTGAGATGGAAGGATGTGGGACAGTTCTTGCTCACCCTCGCTATCTGCAGGTCAGTGAGGGCAGTGGCTGTGTCAGGCCACCTTGAAGGTGTAGTTCACTATTAGTTTCCATACTCATATTAACAATGTGTTGATATTTTTTTTTAACCTAGGCCTAGGAGGTTTAGAAGAACCCATAATGTAGAGAAAAAGTTTTCTATAAAGGTGAAATTACTCAAATCATGCAAAAAAATGACTAGGAAACTTAAGACATAACTGAATGGTTAATTTTTCTTGGCCTGTTTCAGTTTTTCCCCGTGAAGTAGGAGAGATTGACCTACTGAAAGAGATCACCAAGACTGAGTCACAAACATTATTAATAGATTAGGGCAAAAGTAAAGTTGGCAACTCAGATTGGTGAATTTGGGGGGGGGGGGATTATTGGTTGTTGTTGGGTGTCATCAGGTTAGTTTCATCCTAACGGAACTCTCCATACAACAGCTGGAATACAGGGCGTTTATAATACATAGAACAATTTGTTTTAAGTATAGTTAGTGAAGAAGTAAAGGTACAACATATTTAGGTCTGACAATAACTATGTAGGTAAAATAGTAAGGCCTAAAAGCTTGAGAAATGCTTGCTTGAATTTTAAATTTTAATTCAGCTGCAAATACAACATGAGGCTAAAGTCTTATTCTTTTTGGTTTCTGATTCTGTTTTCTTTTAGGCTAGCTAAGTACTTACAGCATTATATCTCTATCCCCAGAGTTGCACTAGGAGACAATTGTCATTATCCCCATTTTACAAATGAGAACTAAAATGTAAAAATGCCTAAGTTCTTGTCAGAGATTACATTGCTAGCGAATGACAGATGGCGCTTGAAATCTCTCAAACTTAACTCCTCATCTTTAACTTGGAACTGACTGCTTGCTGAGCTGCGAGCAGGTTTCAGAGGCTCTAAGTCACAAGAGGAGACTGTTGGTCTTTCTCCTACGGGGTGACCGGTGGATTTGCATCACTTGAGAGGTGCTGCCTCCCTGTGATCTGCGTCACCGGAGCTTCTGGGTGGAAGCTGCTTCCGTACAATTGACGAATGCCTGTGTTCTTCGTCAACATGTGCACTGCCTTCCCAAACATAGACAAGCTTCTTTCTCTTGGGCACTTCTGGCTTAGCAAAGAAAGAGCTTCAGGAAGCTTTAATTTTTAACCCTTCTCAATTTTATTGTATCAGCACCACATTAAATATCAGCATTTGCTGAAGAAGAAATATGTATGTCCCCATCCTTCTTGTGGACGACTCTTCAGGCTCCAGAAGCAGCTTCTGCGACATGCCAAACACCATACAGGTACTTTCTAAAATAGCATATTTGTCAAGTAGCTAAAAGTGCTGTACTATAGGTGTGCAGATTGCTACTGCCATAATTTATTAAAGATTATACAGTTAATTAAGTGTGAAGGAGAAGTATAAAATATAGATAAGTTTTACAAGTGATGACAAGAGGAATGTCACAAGATAGCTTTCAGCCCCTTTTGGTTATTGTTGGTAGAGTCAGTTCTAACTCGCGGTGACCCTGTATACAAAATGAAATACTGCCTTGTCCTACAAAATGTTAATCCATGTCTTTGGGAGTCTTTCTGTTAGGCACTGACCACTGGTTTTGCTAGCTTGATTATAATTCCTTTTGTCACCTCAAGAATATTCTTTTTATTTGTTTGTTTGCTTATAATCCTCAATCCTAAGCCACCCTAATTCTGCTTTCTGCTCTAGAGATTTCCATATTCTGAACTTTGATGAGCCAAACTTCGAAACTCATTGTTTTCAAATTGGCACTGACTGATAGCTGACCTTCCATTAGGTCTCTGAGGCCATAACTGGAAGAAATTGTTCATCTTGATCTGAGTGGATTAGATCTGTTAAACTAGCCTTTGTGGTTAGCCGTTCAACCTCCTCCAAGACCAGGCCGCCAGAGCCCTTCGTACGGCCACGTGTCTGCTTTCAGCTGTGTTGTATAGCATATGTCAGTACTTTGATGTTTTTTTTTCCTCAGAATTCACATGCATTGTGCTTCACACTTTTATTTCATGCTCTTTCACTCCTTTTTGTTTAATACTGATTATAATGCGAGTTTATCTCGTGCTTCATTTTGATTACTTGTCCTTTGATGAGCGTGGTTTCTACCTTTGGTTATTATGAATGCTTTCATATCTCTTAACTATATATGTAAGAATGAAATGACTGGATCATTTGTTAACCTATGTTTAATCATTTGAAGACTTTCAGAATATTGTAAAATTCTCATTTCCGCACCAGCAGTGTATGAGGTTTCTCGTTTCTCCACATACTCACCAGCACTTGTTTATTGACCTTTGACTCAAGTCATACTAGCCTTTGTTCTTCATTTCCCTGATAACATCATAGTGAGCATCTTTTCTGTTGCTACCTTGTCCACTTGTTGACAGTCCAATTTAAAATGGGCTATTACTCTGAGTTGTACAGTTCCTTTATATATTGTAAACATAAGTCCTTTGTCAGAAAAATTATTTTCTTCTCCTTTGGGTTGTCTTTTTATGATCTTGATAGTATCTTTGGAAGCACAGTTTTTACTTTTAATGAAGTCTTAGGGTTGTTGTTGTGTTTTTTTTTTTCTGTAGTACACATTTCTACATTAACAGTTTCTGTGGTTGTACATTATAGTGTCCTCATCAGAGAAGCCTTTGCTAAATCCAAGGTCAATAAAGTTTGTCCATATGGGTTTTTTTCCTAAGAATTCTGATAGTTTTTACTCTTACATGTAAATCTTTGATTCATTTTGATTTAATTTTTATATTTAAGGTAAAGATTCAGCTTTATTGCTCTCGCATCATTTTACTAGAGACTATCTTGCCTCATTAGGTAGCGCTTATGACTGTCAAGAAAAAGGCACATATTTTCAGTCTACTACCTGCTTTATTCGTGGAAGGAGGAGTGGCATCCACTTCCATAATAGCTTGCCTCCGGAAACCCTGTGAACCTGGAGAGATGATGAAAGGCACCCAAGCGTCGAGGACTCTTCTTCATAGGGTCGCTATGAGTCGCCTGCGACTTGACGGCACTTAACAACAACAACCTGCTTTATTAGAGAAAGATAGGCAGTTCCGCCCCCCCCCCCACCCCGCCTCCATGTGATTAATGCCTCTCAAAACCTCCTGCAGTGTCAGCTCTGAGTTGATTCGGACTGGATGATACATAACAACAACAATACAATATCTTGCCTTGTTGAGTGGACTTGGTATCATTGCTAAAATTTGGTTAACCATAGGTACTGTGAGTGTAGGGAGCTTTGGTGGCCTAGAGGTAAGAAGCTCTTTTACAGTCCCGAAGGCGCGTCATTTAAGGCCACCAGCTACTCTGAGGGAGAAGGATGGACAATCTCCTCCCATGCAATTAACTGCCTCTGAAAACCCACCAAAGGGTCAGCTCTGGGTCAGTTCTGACTCTACGATACACAACAGCTGTACGTTTATTTCTGCACTATCCTGTTTCAGTGATCTGTATATACTTGTTAACATTCACACTCCCTTATTGCCAACTATCAGAACCAATGCATAGCTGATCCTTCAGTGAGTTTTCCGAGGCTGTAAATCACATAGGAGTAGATTCCCTTTCCCCCTCTCACATTACCACTGGTGGATTTCAACCAACAGAGATATACACTGCCTTTGGGTTAGCAGCACAATTCCCTACGGCTGATGCCACCAGAGCTCCTCGTAGATTTTCTGGTTTGCAATGTTTTTTAAACCTGAAACAGAGGGTGTAAGGTGTGGATTTTTTTTCTTTTTAAGAAAGAATATACCAAATTGTTACATAGAAACTTTCTGCTTTATTAGGCTGTGAAAGAAAGGAGCAGGGGGAGAAGTTTAAATAATAAAATCTTTGGGAAATGTAGTTGTTTACTTGATAAACAGTAATCTAGGTATCCTGGTAATCCTAAGTATATCTTAATGCTGCTGAATGTGTCAACTAATGAAAACAATATATATCCCTTAATATTTTGTTTATATATTGAATACAGCATGGCTTTTGCTCTGTAAATTTATCTACCTGAATTACTTAGATTCTAAATGGAACCTTAGCCATGTTCTTTTTCTTCTTAGATCAGAGGGATTATATTTGTGAATATTGTGCTCGGGCCTTCAAGAGTTCACATAATCTGGCAGTGCACCGGATGATTCACACTGGTGAAAAGCCGTTACAGTGAGTATGTCCTCTCTGGGGATCTCCTGAGTGTGAGAGCGTTTGCCCCACCAGAGAATTACCTCCTTGGCAAACATGTCACCTGCGACCATTGTTGATTTTTACCAAATTAAAAAGTGGATTTTGATTTATTTTCTGCTTTGTTTATCAAGCAGCCAGAAGGGAGGAAAGAAACTGATTTGTTTTTCATCCAAGTAGCTTTTCCTAATCCTTCATGAGAAATATATGTTACCACTTGTTGCTTGCATTTGTAAGCTCAATTTTTATCATAGAAGAGCTCCCTTAATTTTCGATTTGATTAGACATTTCTTCTCCCATTTCCGTTCTCCTTAGATGTGAGATCTGTGGCTTTACTTGTCGGCAAAAGGCGTCCCTCAACTGGCACATGAAGAAGCATGATGCAGACTCCTTCTACCAGTTCTCTTGCAATATCTGTGGCAAAAAATTTGAGAAGAAGGACAGTGTAGTGGCACATAAAGCAAAAAGCCACCCCGAGGTGCTGATTGCAGAAGCTCTTGCTGCCAATGCAGGCGCCCTCATCACCAGCACAGATATCTTGGGCACTAACCCAGAGACCCTCACACAACCCGCAGATGGTCAGGGTCTTCCTCTTCTTCCTGAGCCTTTGGGAAACTCAACCTCTGGAGAGTGCCTGCTGCTGGAAGCTGAAGGGATGTCCAAGTCCTTCTGCAGTGGGACGGAACGGGTGAGCCTCATGGCTGATGGGAAGTGGCAGCAGTGGGGGCACTGAAGGGCTGGTCATGAACTCGGATATCCTCGGTGCTACCACAGAGGTTCTCATTGAAGATTCAGACTCTGCTGGACCTTAGTGGGAGGGAAGACTTTGTATTTAAAAGATAAAAAGGAAAAAAAATTTAAAGCATTTAAAATCTAGTAAAATAACTGAAGGGCCTGCTCTTTCCATTGTGGATCACAGCACATAAACATACCCATTCCCTGTTTTCCCTCTCTTGTCCCCTTTATAAAATTGATGCTGCGTTTACCGGAAAGGTGGACAGAAAAAAAGTTCTTAAAATAAAGCAAGAGTTAAGCCTTATCCTCAGTTCCAGCCAGGCAGATTTCCTGCAGATCCTTTTCCAGCCTGTAACTGATGTGCTTTGGATCAGCTTCTAATTCTTAGAGTATATTACTGCCCTCTAAATCCCTTCTCCTTTACTGCTGCCCTATGGTTCTGGCTTCTACCCAGTGCGGCAAACGTATCCTCATAGTATCATATAATTCTAATCTCCAGAGGCTGGCAGCTTGACTTGGCACTTTAGGACTCCTCGGCAAGGTGAGCTGTAAAAACAGCACACATCTCTTAACCCCCTTTTCCTCCGTTTCCCACTGGATTTTGGAAAGGAAGGACATGTGGGGAACCATCTTCATTGACCCCAGCACTTCAGTCCCCTCCCAACATCTCCATTTGGCTCTCAATGGTGCTCTCTTGTGTGAAAGCAGGCTCCCATGAGGGAGGGGGGGGCTACCCTTTACACGGTCTGACTGTGAGACAGAGCTCTGTCCCAGTGAGACAGTGAGAAAAGTCCCAGGCTAATGGCAGAAATTTGCACTTTGAACATGTATGTTTTTGTGTTGTGGAACTGAGATTCCTTATTTATTAACAGAAAGTCTGATTTTTTTTTTTTTTTTTCAAATCTTTGTTGCTATATTTTTGGGGGCTGAGGGAGATAAGTTTATTTTGACGTGGGGTCCTTTTCTCATAAGAGGTACTTTTGAGGGCAAGACAGATTGAAGAAGCACAGCCAGCCTCTAAAAGCATAGCTCTCCAGTGGCCTTTCGAAAGCTGGTCCTCAGTACTAACAGTCACTACAGTAGCCTAGTACTTGTTGGGAAGCCTTTTTACGGACAGATAGTAGGTACATGTTAACAAGAACTCTTTGAGATTTTTAGAGCATTCAGATCTAGGAATTTTGAGGAGAAGATTTTTCAGGGTCTCAATTATAGAGGAGTAGTTTTCTCTTAGATCTGGCTTTGGCTTTTAGGTATTTGTTTTTGGTTTGGGGGTGGTTTGGTGTTCGTTCCCCCCCCCCCCTTTTTTTTTTTTGGTCCTCACCATTTCCTTAAACATACCTCCTAATTGACCCATCTCTGGACTCATACTTTATTTTGCATTGATCTATCATTGGTCCATTCCAGCTTTATAGTATTAGTATGGACACTGATGCTAGTAAAATGAGCAAAGTAAATGGAATTGAAAAGACTACGTCAGAGAGAGCTACTTGTTTCTGTTGGTTCAGCAGAGGTAAGGCTGGTTCATTAGATAAAAGTTAATAGAGAAGACATAGAGAATAGGTAATAATCCTGGAGTTCTGGGAATGGCCGTTTTGGTCAGGATTGAGATTTTTATGGAATGAATTGCTGTCCCTGGGAGAGAGAGGTAGAGTTTTGATGTCGGTTTTTAACCTCAGAAGATTAAAGAGCAGATTTTGATGCATTTTTAGAGACTCAACAGGGCAATTCTTATCCTTCTGTTTACCTCAGAATCAGCAGTTGAAGGCTTCATTGTTCATTGTCTGAAATGTGTGATGACTGTTGGAAAGAATGAACTTTTGCTGAGAACAAAATTAGACACAGCTTGTTTTTCACAAACACTAAAAATTCGAAGTCCGTCAGTTTTCTCTTAGATTTTTTTTTTGCATCAAGAAGGGTAACAAAATGTCATCTCTGAAAGACGCTTACTTTACACCCACTGGTGTCAGTAATTGGAATGCCAGGGAATTGGGAGTGAGACACCTACAGTGAAGGATCTTAAAAGCGCTATTGTTTCTTTTCAGTGTGTTGCAAATTTGCCATCCCTCATCAATATAGGGGAGTAGAAAGTGGAATAAAGATAGAGGGGATCTAGAATAGACTCCACAAGAAAGTCTTGGAGTTATACTGAATAGGTTTGAAAATAAAAGCCCATAGCAGAGTTGTTCCACTCAAATAGAAAGCATTTTTGTACTGCTTGACTAGCTCGTCTCTATCCCTTCCTGCATCCTCTGTCTCCTTAAATTTAATTTATGGTGGTAAGTCGTCAGTTTTAGCCACCTACACAAAAGCTGACTACATGAGAAAATCTTATTTTTCTGAGATAAGGGGACATTTCATTTCTTTCTGTAAGCCCTCCATCTCTACAAAAGCTCTTAATAAGAAACTTCCTATTCTTCCATCCTTTTTTAAATTTCCTTTTGGTCCTCTTTATTTGCCCACAGTTTGTCTCAGTAAATTATTGTAGTGGTTTTGCCATCAATTTCCAAATTTTTTTTCATGGACTTGTATTTTTCCTTTTGGAAACAGGAATGACAGCACAGTGAAGATATGATAATAAGAAAACTGTCTTCTATTAATCTGTTTTTTTTATTTCCTTTCTGTTTCAAATAATGATTATTTCATTGTCTTCCTAAGGAGTGCTTTCCCATAGTCAAATTCTGTAAACTTTTAAAATCACTTTCTCACTGTGTGTTCTTCATCTTGAATTGGCAGTTCTGAATCCCAATGATGTGATTGAGCCCCAGCTATTCATTGTTTGTAGGAGCTGTCCTTCCCCCTTCTTTGTGGTTGCCCAGGATTATTTGCATAACTGATACTCCTTAATGTGCTTCAGAGACCTTGAGTAAACACTGGCTAGATGTCCTGGAAGTCAAGAAGATTAGGAAGGTAGGAGAAGCACTTGAACCTGCTTTGTACCTGTCTGGAGAAAAAAAAAATAGTGTACTGTCAACCTCACTCAATTAGTCTGGTTGGTTGGAGTACTGTTTTTTTTCCTCCTGCCTTTTTACCCATTTTCCAATATGTAGTACTCAAGACAATGGAAAAAATGTAATGGATCAGTTTAAAATAATTTCTTTCCTAAGAGCCTTTTTATTTTTTCCTCTTTTCCTTTTTTTTTTGCCTGTTGTAATGTGCAGGACCTTCCTCCTTTGATGGGAGAGACATCTAGGTTCCTGAATCTAGGTTGAAAAGGCTATGTATTGAAAAAAAAAAATTATAATAAAAGGGATACTCTGCTTTTCAAATCCTTGTTTTCTCTTACTCTAGGTAAGACATACCCAAAATAAATATGTAAAGAAGAAAAATAAAGTCTTCATGGAAGCAGTTTGTCTTCCTTGGCTGTCCTGGGTCACAGTTCCCTTAGATTTGAAACACTAGAAGCCACAAGATGAGAAGAGCAGAGGCCCTCAGAACACATTACATATGGGGGACACTGTTGTTTGTTTTTGTTGATAAACAGTTAACTTTTGGTTCTTTTAAATTTTTTATTTCAAGTGATAAAATGTCTTGATTCTGGGTGAAGCTGACTGTTGGCGGTCCCTTTAATGTTCTAAAATTCAGTAGATACTCCCATCATGCTGACTCTTGACTCCAGGTGGTCCTACAGGACTGTCTTAGGTTTCTGAGGTGGGCATCTTTATGGGGGTGGACTGCCTTAGCTTTCTCCCTTTCAGAGTGTGATGAGTTCAAATCAAACCCTAGCCTTTTCGTTGGCAGCCCAGTACTTAGTACCCACTGTTCCAGGCCACCCTGTTAGTTTAGTAGAGGCAACCCTAATGATGCTATGCTGTTCGTTAATGTAACACCAACCTTGGTAGTGTTTACAATATGAGGGCTTCCCCAGAGTCAATGTTTATGTCAATTACTAAGTAAAAAAAAAAAAGAAAGAAAGAAAAACACACAACAAAACCCCACCTAGAACCCTCCTGCCTCATGTGACAGCTACTTGGGCCCCATTTCTCTTTCCCTTACTTTGTGGTTTTTGTTTACCTATGGAAATTTAACCCCGAGAAGGTGTGTGTTAGAGCCTGCCAGCATCTGTGGTTTCCAGTACTGAAAACTAATTAAATCACTTGGGGATGAAACCCAGTTAACATCATCCTCTTAATTTACTGGGTTAAATGGAATGGAATGGCAGCTCTCCACCTTCTAACTCTTTTATCCTCATTTCAAAGCCCAGTTCTTTTTCTTTCTTTTTTTTAAATTTTATTTTGTTAAGAATTCTGTGTTGTGACTAGAATAGAGAAGGAAGAGAGCATGTTGTCACTTGAGTGAGGCTGCTCAGCTGTTACCGAGTCAGGGCTGGGTGTTTCCTCTCCTTTGGAGACAGGCCTAAACAGTGCCTTCCTCCTCCTGGAGCTTCCAGGAAGGCATCGCGATTGTGATTAAAGATGCTGCTTCCTTAGTTGATTGTTATCAAATGGAAATTAAACCAGCGTGAAGAAATACTTACCAAAAGGATGGGATTGAAAAGCTGCCACAGTGTTCAAGGACCTGTTTTATACAAATTTTGTGTTTTGAACAAACACATGAAGGAAAGAAGGAGAGTGGAAAGTCAGTGGGTGAAACAACTTAGAATCGAAGACCTGCATTTAAATCTTAAATCTGTTCAATTTTGTACACATTATTTAACCTCATTAAGCCTTGGTCTCTTCACATATACAATGGAAATATTTGCCTCATAGAATTATTTTAAGGATCAAATGGAGTTTGCTTTAAAGCATTTAACATCGTGTCTGGCCATGTAGATACTTAACAAATGGTAGCTTGTATCTTCAATAATAACTTTATATTGCTGAATACTTTATAGGGTGAAAAAGACACAAGGCGCAAAAGGGAGAGTGATAATAAACTGAGCTGAAGATACTTGTCTATAAAATAGATCACATTAGGCCAGGGTGACATGAGGATTAGTGTGATAGTGACCTTGTTGCTAAGTGCAAAAGCAAAACAATGACATAAAAACAAATATGCTCAGCACGGAGAGGAGGAGAGAGATGGAGGCAGACGCTGTAGGAAAAAAAAGAGCTGATTAAAAAGGGGCCTTTGATTCCACGGGCACAAAAATCCACAGCCAGGAATTTGCTGCCACCTCTGAGTCAGGCAGGGGTGGGGGGTGGGGTGCTCAATCCCATTAGTAGAGAATGCCCAGTGGATTTAGTCTGTGAGAGTCACATTTCTTATTTGGACCAGTGTAGACAGAAGCAAGCCCAGCTCACTTGTTTCCTGGGACGGTTGAGTTAGGGGATGGCTTTCGCAGAGAACTCACCACTGACCCCTCACCGCCGCGACCTCTGCAGCCGCTCTATCTGGCTAGCAAGGAAGATCCGTTCAGACCTGACTACTCTTATGGAATCTTATGTAAGTTGCCTATTATTTTTTTTTTGGTCTATTTTCATCTCTTCTGATCCAGTCTCTTACCATCTTTTCCCAGCACCATTACCATTTATGAAAACCTCAGTCGTAGTCATTCATATATTGGGACATATTTGACTTGGCCCCTTCCCTTGAGGAAGCTCACGTGGCATGTTTTCATCCTTTCGAGCTATTGAGGAGGTAGATCGTTCCTTCTTCGCTCAGCTATGTTTTAGGTAGAATTGGCTTCATATCGAGGAGCTAATTTTTACTTTGTTTATATTCTAAATTCTTTCCCAGTCATTTGACTACAGGCCTTTGAAGCTGTGATGTTTGTCCCTATTCTGAATTTTTTTAAACAGTATATCCAGAAGACTAAGTAAGGTTTAAAGGATTGAGAAGAACAGCTATGTGAACTTCAGAGAAATTGTATAACACAACCAGTTTCTTCTCTCCATTATTAATCATTTGCTTTTTAATCCATATAGATAGAATAGTTAAGTATGCTAACAAAAAGACCCTCCTAGAAGATTTATTGGGGACTTGTCAGCATGCCAGATTTGAAAAACTAGCTTTTTACTGTTCCTCACTGCATTCATTGAAGGGTTGCTCTCAAACAGTAAGGTGAGTGAGGTTAGAAAAATCTTACAGTAGCTATATTCTAGGGCTAGGTGTGGCCCAGTCTCCAAGTATGTTTAAAATTCTTAAGTATGACTAAAATACTCCAATCTCTCAGTTTGAAGTGGGAAGGAAAATTTTTCTATTTAAGTGGTTTTGAACCTTTATAACCTAATAAAAGCTATAGATCCTTCAAATAAAAATGCCTATATATTCCAGACACTATGTTTAATAATAAAATAAGAGAGTCTCCGAGATAAAGTCCAGTCATAGACTCCAAATGAACACAAGTCCTGTTGTAGATGGTTTTTCTCCATAACTTGGGTCCTGGAGGGAGAGAGAGAGATTTTCTTGTGACTAGAGTGTGATTTGAACTAAGGGCATTGTGATAATTGCAGAAGGCATGATGCTTTTCCTGTGTCCTTGGCCAGGTCAGCCATCAGGGTCTGAACAAGAACATCAACCTGGACTCTGTGGATGGAGTGCCAATGGCCAGTACTGATCAGTGGAGCGAACTGACGGAGGCACAGCGACTCCAGGAGAACCTCCAGGCATATCGTACCTTCCACGTTATGTTGACCAAGCTTCTCGAAGACCAGCGGGTGCATTTCACTCCAACTGAGGGCGACTTCCACCAAGCGATACACACCCTGCTCCTCCAAGTCGCCGCCTTTGCTTACCAGCTCGAGGAGCTGATGGCCCTTCTGGAGCACAGGATCCCTGCTGTTGAGGCTGACAAGATGCCTGCTGTTGGCGATGGTGGTCTCTTTGAGAAAAAGCTGTGGGGTCTGAAAGTGCTACAAGAGCTTTCCCACTGGACAGTGAGGTCTATCCATGATCTTCGTGTCATTTCTTCTCATCAGACTGGAATCCCTGCCCATGGGAGCTAAGGACTAGGAAAATGTAGCAGTTACCCCTCTTGCTCTGCCTTGCTTTCTTGTCTAATGGAATACGCATGGCTCTTTGGGGCCTCACTTTCCCATCTTAATTTTGAGAACCTCCAGGATGTTTTCCCTGGGTAGAGTAGGAGACATGGACAGATGAGAGCTTAGGTTTAGTCTGGAGTGCCAGAGTGTTGGGAGATAAAGAGTAAGGCCAAGTCCATATCCTCAGTGCTCTAACCTGTGAAGGTAAAGGAGTGTATCTTTAATTCTAGTATTAGATGACTCTTCTTAGAAGACCAGTCAGTGTACTAAAAGGACTTTTCTAGCCAGTTCACACACTAGGGTAATAAAAATAACAGCTAGTAATGTAGATTCTCTACTGTATTGAGGCACTGTGCCCAGGGCTTGCTGTGTATTGTGTGTAATTTTCCTAACAACTCTGAGGTGTTAGGCTGATGAGATTGCAGGCCTACAGACATTTAGAACTGGCTCAAGGTCACACAGTAAATAGCACCCTAAAGTTTGACCCCAGATCTTTGTCAGTCCAAGCACATGAGAGGCCTGTATTGCTCCAATTTTTGGCCGCCATAGGTAAAAAGAGGTGCCTGTGAAATCCCTTTCCAGCTCTGAAACATGCTGATAGTTCGGTGTTGAAAGCAGTGTTTTTCCCTTACTTGACAAAGAGCCTGATGTCACCAACTTTTGAACTTGGGAAACTAGAGATGTGTTGTAACACAGCATGGTTTAAGTGCCCACAGAGGTTTGCGAGTATTGGGCTGGGCACCACTTGTACCAAGTTGCCTCCCAGTGACTATAATCGCAGACGGAGCGCTGCAGGTGCTGGAGCCCAAGCGTCCATGTACAGTGGGTGGAATAGTACTCGGGTTAAAAAGTCACAGAACTCTGTTGCCACACATTCTCTGGACTTAGTCATGAGGAGAGGGTGAGGCCCACTCTTCCCACTGGGAATACCAAAGACTCTGAAACAATATACGGTGAAGCCGCTCCACTGCACAACAAAGGGCCAGGGCCAGCCAGGCACATGGGCTATGCTGTGAGAGGCGCAAACTGGGAACTGTGGACATTGATGGGGAAGGTCACAGACAAGCCCTGTAAAGCTAAAAGTTCTTAGGTGTATATTTCACATGGACCCTCACTCATTCTCATTGAAACGGAGTCAGAATCAACTCATAGCTGACCTTCTAGAGGGTTTTCCTAGGCTATAAGTCATACCGGAGAAGAATTCCTATCTCTGTCCTGTGGAGCCACTGGTGGATTTGAACCACTGAAGAGGTGCTACGTTTGGATCAGCAGCACAAGGTCGTGAATCAGTGTAACAGAATTGTATGCAGCTTCTGTTGACTTTAGAAGTATGTCCGTAAGTCAGCACTGATCAGGGAGGTTTAGCACCCCAAGATTGCATAAAGGAGGGATGTCTATCTTTGCTGAACTCATGTCCTTTCCCACATGGGTTCATATCCGAGTTCCATGAAGTTAGTATCTGTGAGGACTCGGGCATTGTGACAGTAAGGGGAGAAGTAAGGTCCTGTTTTGCACTGAGCAGGGCTGTACTGCATGGATTAATAATACTAGGTGGAAATGTAATACCTGGCTTTGTCACTAACTTCCAGAGGAGGTGACCACTGAGGGACAAAATGTCCACCTTGGAGGAGGTGGGGTTCACCTGTGGCCCAGAGGTTGACGAGTTACAAAGAGACAGGCAATTGCCTTGTTAACAAGATGTCAGACAGTAACTTCAAATTTGGGTCCAGCTTATGTGGGTTGCTTTGTACAGTCATGTAGTTCCCACGCCAAATGCCTACGACTTACTTAAATGCTTCTTAATCTAAATTGTTCTGCTTAAGAGAGCAGCATTTTTTTTATTGGTAAATGTATCTGCATATTTTCGGTCTGCTCTTGAAGATTTATCTGGATAGTACTTTTAGCTCTTGTTTAATGGACAAGGGTGTGAGTAATATTTCTTGGGGACTGATGGGTTAGGAACTTGCTGGCTCTGAAAGGGGTGACCCTGCTGCAAGGATGTGCTTTCTGTCCAGACGGAGCAGGGCACAGGTCTACAGAGATCTTCAGGAATCAGTGGGGGCAAAGTTCCTTGTTAAGTGATAGAGGAGGCAGTTGTGAAGTGGCAGAGAGTCCAGAAACAGTATGAAAAGTAGGTGGCGATTGTTGGGATGAAGCACCACTGGGTCGGGCACTTGCTCACAACTGCTCATACTCTGGAGCACATTGATGGAGACACTGTGTCAGGCCACCCCTCTCCTTGACCAACCGTGACGTCGTCCTCCACGTTTTGGGCCTTCCTCATAGCGTGTCCAAAGTGTGCATGACATTCGGCTGGTTTCCACTGAATGCATCCCAAACACTGCTTAAAACTGAACTTATTTTCCTTAAACTTGGCAATATGCATCAAAATAAGTATGGAGAGACTTCTTAGGAAAAAAAGGTAAGGGGAAATGTTATTTTTAGAAAATTTTAAGATGAATGCATTTAATTTCTGCCCTCTGGTGGCCTGGTGAGTAAAAATTGTGCTGCCATCCGAAAGGCAGCGAGTTTGAATTCACCAGCTGTTCTGTGGGAGGAAGGTGCACACAGTCTTCTCCAGTGCGATGGACAGCCTCTGAAAGCCTGCGTGGAAGGTAGCTTTGAGTCGGTTCTGATAACTCATTTGGTAGAGTACTCCTTTCATCCCACTGGACCTCAGAAAAGGGTTGCGATGCTATTTCCTTGAAACCATCAAGAAATGGCATGGTTGAGACTTGGTACAGTTTGCATGCGTATTAGAGTAACTTGGCAAAGGCTAACAAATTACCCCAAATGTAAAGGCCCAGCATGGATAACATTAGTTTTGAGCTGATCAGGTGTGGGGGAAGTCAGAGTTTTGAGAAGTCACTGTAAAGTCATAGCCCTGGTATTCCTGTTATGTCAGGCAGCTGTGGATTAAAGCGCAATAGGTGACTCATTGTGGCCACTGGTCAAACATGGAAAGACAAGTAAATATTTCAGGGAGCCATGTCTGGAAAAATGTTCAGAATGGCCAGTGAGTAAATATTCAGCACCTCATGAGGTAGCTGAACACATTCCCTTTTTTTGGGAGTAAGAAGGATGCCGGTAGCTGAGGGTCCTCTGCCTTTGCCAGGATGTGAAAGGGTTGAGAGAAAAAGGCACACGGGAGAGGAGAATTTGGATATTCTGCTGATTTGCCGTATATATTGTTGCTGGTGGTTGCTTTCAAGTTGATTCCCTCTTAGGGTTCCTCTTGTGTCCAGAATTAGAGATGTGCTATGTCAGTTCTGCGTGGCTGTAACCTTTTGGGAACAGCCTACTAACCCTTGGACCAAGGCTTCAGCCTTCGCACCCCCGAGGGACAGGACGTGAGAGTGTGCATGCGTGCATATCTTTTACATTTGGTAAAAGTTACCAATGTCGTTTTTGGCTTCCTGCCTCTTCCCATCTTCAAATATCAGACCCAAGAATGGAGCCCTCTGAACATTGAACACTCAAAAAATGAAAATATGAAAACATCTCTTGATTCAAAAATTTCTTTAGAATCCTGAAGTCTAAAAAAGATAGACTTGATGAACAAAGAATACTTTCATCTTTTGGTGAAATAAGAAAATGCATGTGACTGAACGTAAAATGAATTACTTTTGTCTATTTTTGGCACATAGGAATAAAAGATGCAAAACCAGGTAACTAACAATCGTGTGTTAATTTGATCTTTGTGTTTGGGGATGAGCAAAGGGGAATTCAAAAGATGTCAACATTGGATGAAATGTAATCCTTCAGCCAGGGTCAGACTCAGTCATGCACGCTGAGTAAATCTCCATGATGCCGGGCCGCTGGGCAAAAATCCCAGGGCCAGCCAGCCTAGAAAAGGTTGATTGCCCCTCCACCACTGCTAGGCTCTGCCCTCTGGCTGTGTGGTCCTATCTGCTAGCCTGCACATGAGGAAGATTCCTTTCACATGATTTGACTCCAAGCATTCAAGCCTTCTAAATGGCAACTCAAATTGGGCCATTTCTAACCAGTTTGAAAGGAGTCCTCCTGGTGGCATCGTGGTTAAAGAATTTGGCCACTAACCAGAAGCACAGTCAAATCTACCAGCTCCTCCATGGGACAGAGATGCAGTTGATTTCTGTAAAGATATAAAGCCCGGGGAATATGGATCATTCTACTCTGTTCGTGAGTCTGAGTTGGAATTGACTCAAAGAAGAGGGAATCAGTTTGAAGATAGAAACTAGGTACCATCAAATCATCATAGCTCATGGCAGCTCATGTGTGTTACTGTGCCTGTCCCCCTGAGAGTCTCCAAGGCTGTGACCTTTTGGGAGCAGATTGCCAAGGCTTCTGTTGTGCCACTGGGTGGATTCAAACAGCCAACTTTAAGTGAGTATTTGGCCACTTAACCGTTTGTACCACTCAAATGAGGTACTGTGGAAAATCACAACAGAGTAAAGTTAAGTTGCTTGGATATTGCTTATTTCTGTCTACAGGTTTATAACCTGGAGGAGAACACTGTATTTCATGTTTTGCTTTGTACTGTTACACAGCTGACCCTCTTGCTGAAGGTAGTTTCATCACGCGAGAAATTGCTCAGCTCTCTCCTGCAGAGCAGCTGGTGGGTTCAAGCCCCACACCTTTAGCTTCCTAGGTAGTACTAATTTACCTTGTTATGCAATTTAATCCTGTAAGAGGATATCTATCTGGAGGGGGCTCTGGTGGCTTACTGGTGAGGAGTTGTGCTACACTAGGTTTGAATTCATTTGCTACTGCTTGGGAGAAAGGTGGACAGTCTTCTGTGCAAGTTAGTGCCTCTGACAACCTGCTGAAGGGTCAGCTGTGAATTTGTTCCAACTCTGGTACACAGTGACAAGGAAATGGTAGAATAATAGTCTGTAGCAAGTTATGGTGTTAACCCAAAGGCCGCAAGTCTCTGCTGGTTCAGATCCACTAGCAGTCGCATGGAAATAAGATGGGCAGGCTCA